TATAACATCTAATACGCATAATCCGGGTATTATTCTTCTTTTTTTTTGTTGCTACCACACCCTTCAACTGTTCATCCTTGCTGTGCCTGCTAGTCCTTTTGCTTGTTCACTTGTGTTTTTCTAACAAATTTCACGTCACAGAAGTTTAATTTATTTTGCCTTTTTGCTTTGCTGAGTCTCTTAGAACATTACTCATGAAGTTGTTATGTAGATACTGTAATGGCTTGAATGTTGTTGCTGTTGTTGTATGCATGTAGTAAGTAGTCTATCTGTTATCGCTGTCATTGCTGTGGCGAGTGAAAGCAACGTTGAACTGCTAAGCTAGTATAAACGCTTTTACATAAATGTTGATGTTATAAAAGTTTTATGTAAATTCAACAAATTGGTTTAGTTATGGTTTTCCTTACATATTATTAGTATTTTATTGCTTTGACATTCCTTTGATTGTGTGCGAAAATATTTTGACTTTTAATTTCAAATTTTAACTTAATATTTATGTGACTTTAATGTAGGTCAACAACTGCACTTGTAGCAAATCACTCACTTCGTTATTTAAATATTTATTAACTTGGTGGACTTACTTGACTTTCACTTTGCTCAAATGGCTAACATACTTACATGTGTACATACTTGTGTACATGGTTCAATGTCAATGATACAATAATATACTCGTGTATTGAAGTTGCGAAATGGACTTAAATTGAATTTACCCTTAAGCACTTAATTCATACCAATTCTGTTAATCAGACTGCACAATTCAAACATTTCTAGTATGTTGCCTAGCACAATAGAAGTGAAAAACAAATATGTATGTAGAGTAGCATACATTTGGGGGTTTAACCTTAGATTTCTCAGAAGCTTCGTAGACTTTTCGGACAACACTCAATGTATAATTTAATTACAACAACACTTGAGGGAATTGGTTGGTTGACAAGCAGAGTCTCTGAAGACACAAAAACACGAGAAGCATAGTAAGTGTTTATGCATGTGTGTATGTTGTTTGCAATTGCACAAGTGGTTTTTTTGTTTTTCTTTTTTTTGCTTGTTGCTATGTTACTCTCACAGATATGTAGCTTGTCTCGGCATTACACTTGCATGCATAGACAATTGCGTAGCATGTTCTTCTTGCCCCTCCTCTAATCAACTACTTGTTCTGAATTGGTAATTAGTTTTGTGGTTTACGCAGAAAATTAAGTGCAAGTGAGGCAACAACGTGCATTGACTACAATTGACTGCTGTTGAATTCTTCACATATTGCCATGGTTGTGTGTGTGTTGGAGGATGAGACGTCCAGTGTGCTCTCTAAGGCTATACATGATTTATCTTTGTCCTTTATCTCTTTTAGAAGAGTGTGTATACTGAATGTTCTCATAAGCATATTAGATCGGATCGTTTGGCAAGACAAAATTAATTTAATATTTGGGGATAATTTTCATCTAG